AGTGCACTCATCATTGTGAAATGCACGATGGATCGACACATGCACGTATCTGTCCTTACGAACCATGTCTACCCCTACACGCGAATTGTTTTTCTTCAGGATGATGCAGGACAATGTGACGTGTAAAACTACTCGCAGTGTAACTACTTGCAGTGTACGTGCGTGGTTCGAAGAGCACCAAAAATCATTTATCGTACTTACCTGGCCACCAGATTCCTCGAATTTAAATCCAATCGAGAATCTGTGGGACTACTTAGATCGGGGTATTTGCGCAAGTTAGCTTTATCATGGCACTTTTTTGTTTTTCGATCGTATTCTCCGTATGATAAAATAATTTTGTTTAATAAAACACGTGCGATTCTGATTTTATATATATATATATATATATTACTGCATATAAAAAACGACGAGATGTTTTCTGACAATTCGAGAACATTTGTAGAGATATATAAAATTTGGAAAACATTTTCAGCCCACAATGAGTTTGAAAGTTATTGAGGACAGAAATTCGAGAACTGTTCTCCAGATTTAAGAACGGCTGGTCAACTTGCATTTAACTAATGACAATTATTTAGGTAACCGTGGAGCTTCGGTTGATAACAGAAGGCGCTTCAGTTTGTTCCGATATTAAGGGTAGCAACTGCTCTTTCATAATTAAGAGAGATTTCGCATTAAGTTTATCTTATGTTAACCACAACGATAACAATATTTTCTACCACTTAGCGATACTGTAATTTGCTGCGAAATTCTTACGCATCTAATGTGAAGCTCAAATAACGTAAACGTAGGAGTTAGAGGCAACCGTAACTTAAGCATGACGCTTTGAAAATCTCCTAAACCTATATTCAAAAAGCTTACATAAAAATTGAAATTGTTTGAGTTATATGGTGTATGCCAATTTCTGAACTCGTTCAAGAAATTGGACCATGGTATGCAAAAGACTGGCTTTACACAGCGTAATATTTAAGGATAAAAAAATTACTAAATAAATAACGCAAGTAATTTTTTAACTGTAACGTATAATGACACTCCACACAAAGGGGAAAAAAGTCTTACTTTTGCGGAACAAAATGATATATGTGGATTAGATACATTCCAGAGATAATGCCCGACGAATACAACGGCAAATTTTGAGGCCTACAGATAAAACACGATATCGGCGGAAAATGTGAAAAATGCAAGTAGAAAACGCAATGCCATTATCAGATAATGAGGAGGATAATAAGAGAAGTTCAGGTGAGATCGTGAGCAGAGCCAAGCATTTGAACGTCACGTTTGAAGATGCTCACGTTATTTGCAAGACACCTTCCTTTACCTGCAATTCAAGTCGGGTTATTTTTTTTTTTTATATCTCTTATTTGCTGAAGTTACAACTCTTGCACAACAGGTTGAATAGCACCAATTCCATTTTTCACCAAGATGAACTAAAATAAATTTTCTTTTGAATTCCAACTAAGGTCAATCTGCAGGTAATCGAATAACTTTCAAATACTAACAACCGGCAAAAAGTAATGCATAATTTTGGAAACAGTTTTTGGTAGAACTTGCGCAAGCAAATTTTATACCTTTGAAGGAATTCCTGATTCGATTCTGATATGTGCATAAGCAGGCAGGCCACTATCAATAACATCGCTTTACAGTAAAGCACCAATTATCAGACACCTATGGTTAGAAGAGAACTGAGAAAGAAAGATTGACGCCTAAGAAAGTTCTTCAAATATTTAGAAAATTTTGAGCTAAAAGTCTAATTTTAATTTTTCTCACGTTAGCTTATTCCCTTTATGACGTATTATCTGAAAGTTAAAAAAGTTCGCACTTGATCTAGTAATGTGCAAAGTACAATCCGTTTAATAAAGGCTAGAGGTACCGCAATTCAAATTATATATATTTTAGAAGGAGATGGACAAGAATTTTAAGAAGTCCATTACTTATAAAAAGTTAGTTTGTCACTAGATGTCAAACTTCATAATTCTTTTTTTTTTTTTTAGAAATCCTTTATAACTAACCATGTTTTAAGAATATGTGCAAAGATTAACATCATTAGTATTAATATCATCAAAGTCCCTTCTACCCGCCTTCCAGATAATTAAAATTATGAATATACTAGCTGAATACCCGTTCTTCGCATGGGGTGATAAAAAAAATAATCAGTACTGAACAAAATTACGAAATCAAGAACAAAACTGGCCGGCATATAACGACATAATTGTAGAGTTTACTGGAAGAACCAAGTAAGAGACATTTTAAGGGTATTTATGAATCAGTAAAAATAGCATGCAGTGGTGGCATCAATGTATGTATATTTTATGTAACAAAATTGTTTTTGCTTTCACTTGCATTATTTTGCATCATAAGCATTATTTTTATTTACAAATTAAGTAGTAGTAAATAAAATAAGATGAATAACTATTAATTCCGCCTTCTAATAAATCGGCAATAAAATAGTCCGTAGACCACCTTTTTTTTTCTTTTTTTCCCTCTTACCCTGATTATAGTCTCTCTGAAAATGTCACTAAAATCAATTCGTTTTTATTTATTTATAATTAGTTTTTCTTCCCGGTAGCTTTACGTTGTTATATTAAGCAAAACACGGATTTTGTTGATTCAAAACACGGATCCCATCAGAATTGTGGCTAGCATCACTTGGCGTGATAATATTGCTCGCGGCCAACTCATAGTCAAAATTTACCGCAATCAAGTAAATTTCTCCGGTACATATCCCTTTCAAAATAGCGTAAGACAAGACAATAATTTCAACACTATCATTAGTTTAAATTCAAAGTTAAAAACAAGAGAAAAAATAATCTTTTTGCAGGAAAGGATTTTTTTCTTTCTTATGTGTTAAATTTAGAAAATTATAGGGTTGTTCGATAATTTATGTCGTTTTTTTCTTATAGATGACTTGAATTGCATATTTAATGTAGTAGTGATTGCGTGGCTTATATTATTGTATACTATTTTGAAGATTAGACTTTAGACTTTCTTTAGTCAAAACCAGAGCGTCATTAGTAAACAACAAGTTGGCTAAAAATTTAGTTGAAAATGGACACTCAAAAAGAGCATTATCGTCATATTTTATTGTTTTACTTCCGAAAGGGCAAAAATGCGGTGCAAGCTAGGAAGAAATTGTGTGAAGTTTATGGTGAGGACTGCCTTACTGAACGCCACTGTCAGCGTTGGTTTGCTCGCTTTCGTGCTGGAAATATGTGCAAGATGCACCACATACTGGTCGTCCAAGGAATCAAACTATTGATTCAAATGTCTACTGTCGTCAACTATCGAAATTGAACGAAGAAATCAAGAAAAAATGCCCTGCACTGGCCAATCACAAAAGAGTTATATTTCATCATGATAACGCTAAACCCCACACATCTTGGATAACCCGTCAAAAATTAATGGAGCTGAATTGGGAACTGATGCCACATCCACCCGATAGCCCTGACTTAGAACCATCGGATTACCATTTGTTTCGATCCCTTCAAAACCATTTGAATAGTTAAAATTTTCGATTCCGATCAGGTTATTAAAAATGAGTTGGACCAGTTCTTCGTTTCTAAAAACCAAAGCTTCCTCGAATGTGGAATTTTTCAACTTACCGAAAGGTGGCAAAAGGTCATCCAACAGAATGGTCAATATATCATTGATTAATATTTGTTGTTAATACAAAAAAATTCACATTGAAAAACATGAAAAAAACGACATTAATTATCAAACAACTCGATATTATGACAGTCAATTTTAATTTCATGCCCCTCGAAAATAGGACACCTGTTACACAAATAATTAAGTCATAAAAAGCTAGATTGTCACTAATTCCAATACTTCTGTAAATGTTAACTTGTTTCAGAAGGTATGATGACTAATTTCCAATTTAATATTAATAACTAACATAACTTCTGTATTAACAAAGCAGAAAAAACTCTTCTGCATACTGTAAACTTAAATTATAAGCATACTCACCCTACAATGAGTTTTGTGCGAAATATAAGCGGCAGCGTACTAAGGCCGAATTATTTAAAACATACATAACTTAATTACATCTTTTAAAGACTTCATCAAGTTGTTGCAATGTTGATGTATTCCATATTCAAGAATTTAGTTGTGATGTCCACCATCATCATCCTCTTATGAATTTATGTTTAGAAACTTTTATTTCTTTATTTTCTGTTTTGGCACTCATTAATTATTAAAATTAATTAACTCTTCTTGCATAGGAAAAGAAAAATATGATCTTCTTTAATTCTATTGAATTTAAGTTTGTGGTGATAATGGGTGTACCAAAAATGACAGGAGATTTGAAAAATCAAATAACAAAAAGGGGAAGAGCACGGTTTGATACGTTCTGCTCAAGAAACTAAATTATTAAGGTTTAAAATTAATCTCTAAGTTCACCAAAAATGACGCTGCTGACTATCGAAACACTTTACCAAAATGACTACTATATGCATCAACAACGTGGTACAGAGAACAAAGCTAACAGCCGATCGTGTAAATATTTTAGTCAAATTGGTCAGACATGCAGCAGAGAATGGTAACAGCTAGCAGGGCCACCTATTGACGAACTTAATAATTAAATTTAAAATTAATGAGAAAAATCGTTGGTTTCCTCAGCAGATGCAACAAACCGTAAATTTCTATATCCCTGCGTTTTACTTTGATTGATTTTTGAAATCGTCAGTCAATTTTCGAATACAACACACAGTTACGTTTTGAAAAACGTCACATTACTTTTGTCGGATAGGATATTTTCATAAAGAATTTCAGGGAAGTAAAATTGAATTTAATTTATACAGTGATTAAAATACTAGAACTAACCTACACTGCTTGAAAAAGTATATTTCACTATCAACTCTAGCCCATCTAATTGTGCCGCTCTGTCAGAAAACGCTTAATTTACAGCAAACAAATAATACCTCTATAAAAACAATCTTTGTGCCATTTGTTATTAGAATATGTGCATTTTTTAGTAGAATAAAAAGTAAAAACAGAGTCCAACTTACGAGATGAAAAGGCATTAACGATGTCTCCCACTTCATCCAGATCTGTAGATCCCAGCCCCCTGCTGCAATTAGTTCTATTCTAAAATGAAAAATTTAAGAAACAAAATATCAGAAATTGCTTAATCCAAATTTTTATGCAAGTACATAAGATTTATTAAAAAAAACATCAGCGCATAGTCAGTGAATTTTCAAAAAGATTCATTGTTAAATTAAATGATTGGATCTAATTTAAATGGAAATTTAAGAGGACTAGGTCAGAGATGGCGAACCTGTGGCTCGTGATATATATATTTTGGTGACACGCAAGAAATTTTAAATCACTTTTATTCAACTACATTCACTGAAGACAGGCACTTTATTTTATTTTATTTCACATTTTATAACTGTCATTGAACAGCCGACCCAATTTTTGGGATTACGACTACTTATGTTCAACTCCGCAGCCTTGTAATTTTGAACTTAATCCAGAAGACAAAGGAACTCCAGGATCAAGTGAAATTTTGCCTTCGTGGAGAACTTTATGGAAGCACGACTGCGGGCAATATTATGACATTTTCTAGGAAGATAGGGTAACTTGTGACCGGGTGGTCATGCTATGGAAGTCCATGTCATATGCTTATTCGGAATAACACATTGTTCATAGTCAATAAATTTTTTAAAAAAAAATTCATTATTAAATTACGGCATCAACTTTATTCTGTAAACATAAATTTAAGAGAAAAGAACTAGGTCAGAGATGACGAATCCATGGCACACGTGCCACTGTGTGACACGTGATATATTTTTCGGTGGTTTATATTAAATTACGCAACATGAATAAAGTTAACGCAAGAAATGTATATCAAATTACTTTAATTCAACTACATTTCCCAAAGACAACATTTTAAAATAATCTAAATAAAAAAATATATAATTTTAAAAAGTTTTTTGTAGTGAAGAATAATAATTGAAAAATAAAAATTTAAAAATTATAATTTAAAAAAATATAAAATAATAAATGAAAAATTAAAAAAATTATAATTTAAAAAAAAAAGGACTAAAAAATATAAAATAATGTTTTTCAACTTCATACATATTCCTATGATCTTAGAGATTGTCATTAAAATTGGTGAATCTGAACTTTTAATAGCTTTGAAAAATAGGTCTGTAATTATAATCAGAAAATTCTTGAGTTCTGGAATGCCAATATAGACATATAATCATGCGAATGAAATGAAGCTATTGTACATTATGTCACAAAGTATACCTCAAAGACGGGACCAGCAAATGTAAACGAAGGTGTGTAGACAAAGCAATTCGGCAAATTAGTCGAGAGGAAACTACATCGCTGCAAAGCTATTCAAGTCTTACTTGTAAGATTTAAACGAAAAACGTGGGGCGCATGAAATACATAACATAATAGTTCATATACACATACATGTACACATTTTCTTACTCATACACAGCCACATACACATTCAGATACAATTACAATTACAGATATACATACACATATTCACATGAGCACACAAACACACATTAATATAACATTACTCTCATGTATTAATAGAACTTTAATTTTAAATTAGGGATACAAAAATCTTTATAGAAAAACAATACCTTTACGACTTTCATTAGTTTTATGATGACAACCAAAACAATCTGGAAATGAATGAGGAAAAGCTGGATCCTACCACGTGATTTTTCAGCCAATAAAAATACTCCGACAATAAAAATCTTTTCACCTGACATGTAATACTAATTTGAAATAATGGAATCGAATACAAAAGACAATCGCGAAAATAATAATTTTTTTTAAATTTTAATTTTATTTTACTTTGTCTTCTTTCTCTTCATTTTCATACTTAGTTATCCAGTTCTGAACTATGTGCCAAATTTGAAGTTTGTAGCTAGTCGGGAAGTTTAAAATCGATTACAAAATTCCACCCGGACAGACATACACGAAGGCAAGTTAATATAAACGTGGTAAAAAAATCCTCATTACAAGCGATTATTATCAAAGGTGAATTCAGAAACTAGCATGTTTGAGGGCGCCATTATGACATTTTCCAGAACGCAAAGATTACTAGACCATGCTATGGAAGTCTACGTCGTAGGCTTCTTCTGAGTAAGCACATGACTGCAATGAACAGTACGGTGATAAATTAAAAATTATGAAAAAAATTGCAATCTAGTAAATTTGGACTATGTGGTGAGCAGATGTGCTCATCAATGAATTTTACAAGAAATCGCCTTGTTTCAAATTTAAAACAAGTTGAAAACGAAACAACAAATATAATAACACAATGTAATTCTGTATTTTGAAACAAAAGCAGTGCCTTACAAACATTTTTTTAACAAAAAAAAAAAAACACTGTTCATCATTTGAAAATAATAAACCATAATTCAACAGGCACACAGATCGAAAAAAGTTCGCCGTTCCTGAACTAGGTCATTCACTTTGTCCCATATTTTCTGCCGATCTATTCCAGGAAGCAATCAATTTTTTTTTATTGATTGTAATTCATTTACTTATTCTTTAATATTATGCACCAAAAGAAAATATAGCAAAATTTATGAATGAAGCCCGCTCTTTTTTTTTAAGCATTTGGCAAGATAATTGAACTGTCACTAATCAATGCATAGACATTATTTGTCCAGAACACAATCAGGATCGTTTTGCACTGATACTTTAACGCAGAAATTTCCAGTATTAATAAATAAATTCATTTGAAAGTTAGAAATGTTATAAGTGTATCTTCTAGCACATCCATTAAAAAAGTCAAATAATTTAGGGGACTTAAAATAGTGAAATAACTGCTTACACTATACGATACGAAATAATTATTACTGATATGTTACTAATTCTAATTTTGAATAAGAGATATTTTAAAAAATGAAAGAAAAAAATTTCTTTAACAATAATAAAACATTTTATTTAACAACCTTAACGTTTCAATAGAAAGGAAGAATATTGGTAAAAAAATAATAATAATAATAATAATCTGATTTCTATTCTTACCTTAACTGTTGATGGCCGAGGGGGCTGGGACCAGCAATTTCCCAGCCTTTCATTACGAGCCATGACACGACTCAGCTGCACCTAATATAAAAATAAAACAAAAAATGTATACCATATTATCTTCCAATTAAAATATGTACAGAAATTCAGAGCTAGAACTATGTATTACAATGTACTTTGTAAAAACAACCTATGATAAACAAAATAACTTAAAGACAAAATCTTAAGATAACTTAAAGACAAAAGCAGAGGTGTTTAGTGTAAATTAAAAAATGGTTTGATTCTTGTTACACTCTTTATTACTGAAGCACAGTGCGCAGTTAAGAGATATTTTCGGAAACAGTGTTTCAAGAAGGCCTTATTTGAATTGTAGGACGTCAACTTCATCTTTACTTCCACGCTCATTCAAGTAATTGCTATTTTATTTTACAGCTAGAACACCGCCAGCTTATCTCGATTGTCCTAACACAGAGAATCACAAATTAGCAAGATAGAAAAAAAAATACTCGTTAGACTTGAAAACTCTGTGACTAAAAAAATAAATAAAAATAATATGGTTATTATGCAGTACTATACTCTTTGTTCATAGAGTAGGAGTCTCAAGGTTACATGATTTCCCCACTCTCCGAACTTTTCCCTCCCGCTCCCGTGACATCCACGTGGTATGCTTTTTTTCACACGCCAGTATATTTCCACTTCAAATTGAAATGCACAGCAGTAAGAAAAACAAAGTTTTTCGTAACTATGGTAACAGAAAGGGGAAAAGTGTGGTGATTAGGAAAATCGCGTAACCTTGATATTTTTAATCTATGTATTCATATTCGAAAGTCAATTGATAATTGGAATTCGTATAATCGATATTCAACTAATGTTTACATATAGGTACTAGACGTCTTTGGTAACCAGCTCGCCCCCTCATGAACTTACTGATTCAAAGCACCACATTGATCTAGCTGCAATAAACAGCATTGCTATATGAATGTTTTCTCCTCATACACAGACTCGTCACTTCGTGGTTTCATTAATTAAGCTCATACAGTGGATTACGTACTTAATTTGAAATAAAACAACACAAAGGAAGGTCTTAAACAATGACAAATATTGCAAGACGGAAAGATGGAACTAGTTTTCGGGTTCGCTGTGTTGCTGCATTCGGTTCAATGGATATTCGGCGGGCCTTCAGAAACCCACTGTTTCGCGGCTCCACTTTGACATTATTGTCTTCGGCAGCGTAACTCTGACTAATTGCTTGGTTCTCTCTCATGAACTCGACGTTGAGCGACTTTCAAGCGATTAACAATTGGGTACTTGCAACTCTAAAGGTGATTATGCCTAGCCATCTGAATTAAATCAGATCTAATTGGACACATGTAAGCGAAAAGTTTTTGGGCATAAATTATACAATTCTCTCTAATTGAAAAAAAAATTGAGATTTAAATTTTTAAAGACATATTTTCTGAAATTATCATGCACACGGTTTACAGCATATTGAAACAAACTAACCAATACTAATAATGCCACATGAACATAGAATAATATCATCCACATGGCTAAAAAGTACAATATGCTTTTTTAAATCGATAAAAAATTTCAAAAATGGCAACACTGTTACAACACAAGCTTAGTAACTTATTGTTCTGATTGAAATTGTACTTTACTTTTCTTGAAAGATTTAATGATTACTTTGTAAGATTTGCTTCCTTAAAAGTCTTAACTCGTCACCAACATTGTTTTTTAAAAACAAGAATGTAAAATATAATTGCATTTAACTAAGCATAGTGATAACCCTTACAAATCCAACAAATCCCGACAGCAAACAAAGCTATACATATATTTAGTGATATTGCTTGTTGAGAACACTAATTCTGAATTGTCATCCACCAGCCCTTTTCCCTTACGTGTATTTACTCGTTTATAATTTACGGGCCAAATGAATATAGATTGGAATGGTGTTAATTTTATTATCAGTATTATAAAAATATCCAGATATGAAGATTGATACAGTAAGAGTGTTAAAAAAAATTTTTTTTGCTTTAAAACTATGCTTAGAATCGAGTTAATAAACTTTTTGCTATCAAATAAGAGTTTTAAAAAAAATAGACTTTTAAGCCCTGCTGACAAAACACTATTGTATCTACTAACAAATTGAAGAAATTTAATGATTTTCTAAAATTTTTCTTATTTATCTTTTACAACTTATGCTAAAAATATTGTAGAATCACCCATACGGAAAGTTAAAAATCTGAAATATATTTTAGTTTTATTTAAAAAANAAAAAAAACACTTGCTTAATTCCGCTTTTTTTTTAATTGCTTTTTTTTAATACTTCGAAAATACTACACATCCACTTTAAAATATTATATTATTTTAAACATTTTATTTCATTACTTTGAAAGATAATGTCATACTTTGACTATAAATTTTCAAAACAAATATTTTTCTTTTTACACTAAGAAATAATTAATTGGAATAAAAACTGCATTCACAGCGGACCCCGAATGATAGTTTTATTTTTTTTTTCGGCGACCCTTCTTATAGAAAGACATACTCCTAATCTAAACCGATTAGCATTGAAATTAATTTTTTTATTTATATCGTATGCATTCATAAGATTAATTCTAGTTTAATTTGTAACTTTCAAATAGGATTTATTAAAACACTTTTAAAAGCAAGAACATTAAATTCTGGCATACGATTTATTCCAATACATTCAAACAAAAACAAAAAAAAAAAAAAAAAAAANAAAAAAAAAAAAAAAAAAAAAAAAAAAAAAAGAGGTTGCTTAAATCCAGATTATCTCATATCAACACGAAATAAAAATAAAACATTATACTTCGGATTACAAACCAAATTATTCACTTAAATTATTTTTATTTGAAAAAAAAATTTCTTGAAACAAAATAAACTCTTAAAAAAATAATAAGAGTGCAACACAAGGAAATCCAAGTGAGTTCTAGGAAAATAGACATAACATAATATTGGGAGTAGCCTCTATTATGCAAGAAAGCTTTTCAAGGTCAACTTCTCTTGGGAGAATAATTTCGAGAAAACGCGTGCCATCATTCCACGGTATGCAAGTAGCATACATACACATATTAAGAAGAGAAAAAAAAGCAATAATCAAAGCGCATACTTTCTTGAGCAGCGCGGCAAACGTTGAGGGGGAATAGAATTGGCAAAACACAGAGGAGGAGAGATGGGGGGGGAACAGGGCATTGCTTTATGCACGAATAGCATCGTCCCCTCCTCCACGAAATTCCCGAGCTACAAAGCAACTGCGATTTCAAATCCTTGAGCCAGCAAAGTGTCATCATGCGCCTCTCCCCATAGAGAGACACAAGGGACCAGTCGAAAAAATTAATGCGCAATATCATAGATCCATTCCATTTCAGGTGACAAGATTATGTAACCGTTAAGTTAATTATCATAGTGTTAATATTTTATAGGTTGGACAGAAGCTAATTTGTTACCTAGAATCTGAAATTTATCGCATCTTAAAAAATCAAGGAGGAACAGAAGAATGTAAATTAAAATCGATTATTTAAATTTTTTGTGGATGGAATTTAAAATTATTTATTATTCGGTATTTTTCGTGTATTTTTTATGATTATTATACTCACAGGTTAATTTTTTATACCCACAAAACAATATTATTTGGTTTAGAAATACATTAAATTTTCGAACTGTTTTCAATGTTGTTGGATAATTAAGACATTGGGCTGGTTGAATATCACCAAAATGGTATTATATTTCTAAATAATCATAAGGAATTAAACGAATTTATTTAAAAATGTGAATAAGCAGCTAAAGAATTCTTTTTTTTTTTTTGCATTAACACCAGAAATAAATATTTATAATATTAAGAATATTTATAATCGCATATTAACTGTTATAGGGTAGAGGTAATATTTAATTATGTCCTATTGCCAAGACAAAGGAAAGAAATTTATTTATATTGGATGTATCATTTTAAACTACAAAAGAATAAGCATAAACAAAATGTAATAAATTAATGAGCGAATACAAAAGGAGGCATCCTTTATACAAGGGTCTAATGGCCAACTGGCCAATATTGGCCCCCAAACTTGATAAATCCCCTTAGAAGAGTTTTAAATATCATTAAAAATATGTACATAAGAGGAATACTAATGTAAAATATAAAAAGTGGAAAAAAAACACCGCTGTATTAGATAATTAATATTATTATTTTTACTGGTCTGACTTATCCTAAACTAAATTGTAATCATTTTATTTATTCAAGTTACATTCTGAAAACAATACTTGCAGGAAAACATAATTTCTTACTAATTTTACAAGTTACTGCATAAGTAATTATATCTTTAAATTAATTTTATTTTACTCAGTTGGCACCAACATGTCTTTTTTTTTTTTTTAAAGTTTTTGCGGGCCGCTATTAAAAAAGGTTATGCATCCCGGCCATAACATATAACTAAGAGGCCGGGATAGCCTAGTTGGTAGAGCACTAGGCACAAGTCCAAAAGTTCGTGGGTTCGGACCCCACCGGCCGCAGACTCTCCGTGTAGTAAATGGTGACTGATGCACGTTAAATCTGTCGAGTCGCAAAGTCCTCCATGTTTCCATAACAAATCATACCTATGAGGGTACTGATCCAGGAGTTTCCTTGTCTTTTGGATTGGTTTAAAATTACAAGGCTACGGAATTAGTAGTCGTAAACGCAACACTGGGTCGGCTGTTCAACAACGGACATAAAATAAAATAACATATATTACTAAGTTTTTAGTTAAAATTACAAAACAATGCTATTACTCATGATTCAAACAAACTAAAAACATTCATTAATCATTTAAATTTGAATCTAATGATAAGAAATAAAATTTCTTTCGTAAAAAATGCACCCTTGCTATTACTATTTTATATTCAATGCAAAAGGAAGAGATCACCGATCCAGCAGATCACCGAAGTCAAGCATCGGTGGCTGCTGTCAGTGTGCGGGTGGGTGATCACTTGGATCAGTCTGCGTAGGGACCGAGGGTGTGCGGTATTGGTCCTCGTTAAACTGTTCTACCGTAAAGTGCTCGACTTCGTGCTCAGGCCGTCGG